TGTTCTTGTCGGGATTATATTGTTATCTACTGTATATGAAAATCTGATATTATGACAGCTCTACTTTTTGAGGTATGATTTGTTCTTATTTCTGACCTTCCATGAAGAGTCCGTGAACGTAGGCCCCCTCCCGTGGGGGGTGTCCAAAGTCGTCTTTCGTCTTCTTCGTTACATCCACAGTCAAAGTCATCTTGTCCAGGGGCCACTGATTCTTCCGAGCAATGCTCTGCAGCACAGCTGGGAAGAAAATTGTCTTCATGTTAATATCTCTGCTGCCTCTGAGTAACATGTCACCTAAATCATGTGTGCTGTTTGATTAGAGATTGTGATCTCACCGGTGAGGAAAGACTGAGGGTTGAAGAGACCGGAGAGCCAAACGACGGCAGGAAGAACCAAGTCCTGAGTCCAGCTGTCCAGCTCTCGACAGCTACACATCACATCATTAAACCTGTGAAGAACAGGAATGAAACAACATGGAATAAAACAGCTTGAAGTCTTTATAATGTGTCTGCAAGCGTCCTCCTAATATCACGTTTGAAGACAGTTTTTTCAATGCTTTGACATACAGTATTTTTTGCTAAAATAAATGATAATAATGATGATAGCTCAGCCACAACGCGGACTGCACATATTTTATATTTTATCTCATTCAATGTAAATACTGCTTTATTTGATTTTTTACTCCTATAGATATATATATATATATTTTTTTGTTTTTAAAATGTTATTAGGCCTATAGGGTTTTTACGGTAGTTCTCTATCTGTGTTTTTTTTTTACTTTTATGTATACACCACGACAACAAGTCAAATTCCTCGTACGTGTCATCCTACCTGGTAATAAACCTGTTTCTGATTCTAATATTCATGTTGATTAAAAAAAAAATACAGTATTATGAGAAAGGAGTAGTTACCATTGTGCCAATGTTTTAGTGGAGGGGTAAGCCAGCCTGGCCCAGGACTCTGGAACGGAGTCGTTGAACAGAGCTGTCTGCAGAGTCTCCATGCTGGAGGAGATGGTGAGTTCTCCCTGTGGACAAAGTAATCCTCATTATTGCTTCAGGATCTGATACAACAATTCATTTCTTTATTAAATGTCATAGTAGACTGCACCTTGAGACCAAGATCCAGCTCATGAAGGGACTTCCTTATTTCTGCTAGCAGGAGATTCATGCGTTCACACTCCTGGAAGCACACTGAAATGTAGGGGCTTCTCTTTGTGGTCTTTGTGATGATCTCTGCCATGTCATACTCCTCAGGAAGCTTCTCAAGGATTTCTTCAATGACGGACTTGACCTGACAAATATAATATACATAGATAGGTTATTTATGAAGGCATGTTATTGTATTCTCAGGTGTTTTTATCGCTGCGCCTCCACACCTTCTCCTCGGTGCTCTGAGCAGACCCCTCCCCTCTGCAGGAGGCCTGGGGCTGCAGCTCCATCAGGGTCCTCAGGAGGTCGTCTGAGGTGACGCTGAGGCAGTCCAGCTCAGCGTTCGGATGGAGACCATACAGAGTGGGGTTCTCAGAGGGGAGGTGTTCGTCAATGTAACCGTGGTAACCACTGTAGTCCATGAACGGAGGGGACAGGAACCCAGGGCAGAGAAAAAGCTCCCCTTCAAACTGTGAATGGAAGTTTGGAGAAGAAAAAGATGAAAACACTTTATTTAAAACACAGCATAAACAGTGACAATGGCATTTCCCTTGAACTGGATTTATTACATTGGCAAGCAAAACAAAGCCTGTGTGTTTGGGAATACACTTTGACAGACAGCCACACAAACAGCAAAACACATTGAATGATGTCAAATTGTCCAAATCACATTAAAAAAGCATCTGTAAGTTAAGATAAACTGACTAACCATGGGATAGAATCAAATCAACTCCAATTGAAGCCAATCAACTTGACTTCTGCTAAAGAATAAAGACCTCATAATGTTTATAGTCCAGTGTCATGCAGCATCTGGAATATCATGTTGGCACAGAGAGGTAACTCCACTAAAGCGAGATTGAAAATAATCAACAATGCCAAAGATTTGGAGTGCAAAAGTGCAGTTTAAGTTTACATCCCAAGAGGGCACCCTTTACCTTAACAACACCAAGACATTCAAAACCGATCTGTAGAGTTTTACTCGTTGACAGAGTCAAATTGGAAGTGACCAGACTTTACAAGGGGTTTTCGGACCTTGAAAATGTTACAACAAAACCAGGAGGAATGTACTTGTATTGCCTTAGTTTTGATAAAACGAAACCAAAAAAGTAAAATAATAAATTGTCCTCGCAGGCGACATGAACGCTGTCTTACCATTTTTGGATGCATGAACTCTTGCAGATAGGTCTTACACAGTCTTCTGTCCCAGCCATCGGTAATGTGTCCTCCATACATGATCTCCCCAAAAAGATAACACAAGTCCTCCCATGGCACCTGCATGGACTACAATAAACATAGTCTGACTGGTGTAGAAATGCAAACATAAGATAAGCAGTATCATTTCAATAATTACAAGCATATTATACAATAAAAGGCAATTTAAGTTCAATAAAGACTATTACTTCAACTAACAATAATATTTTAGTATCATCTGAAAAAGGGTTATTAACGTATTCCTGATTGCTTCATTCCTCTTTTGGAACTTCAAGCAGTAACTATACGATGTCTTCCCAAATGAGCTCTTTTAATAATGATAGCGCCAGGGGAAATGTACCAAAATGATGTTTCTTTACACACTCTGATCTAACGTATGACAGAAGAGTCTCTTCCTCAGAGGGAGATGATGATCCGTGAGGGTGAAGGAGGAAGAAAAGAACCTGTGATTCATAACAAATTACAAAAGCTGGAGGTTCACAATCATTTGTACCTGTATTGTTTTGCAAATTGCTTCCTTCATCAGCTCTAATTGCAGTGATCACTTATGTAGCGTTGTGAACTGTCACATTGGCTGCATGTAATTACATTTAGGATAACGCTTCATTGCCCTCCTAATGAATTCTCTGTATACGCACATACAGGTTACTGTTTGGTTAACATAATGAAGGACATTCGTTTTTGGAGGGCAGAATACCTAGGAGACATAATTGGTTGTGACCGGAGTAATAGGAGTTCTAAGAGAAATGCATTAGGAGTGCTGAGGGGTGCAGCACCCCAAGAATGGATTTTTTGTCTTCGTGAAATAAAGCTAAATTATAGGTTTGGTGCTCATAGTCATAAGAGGAAGAAATGTGAAAAAAGAGACGGAGCGTTTTTCACAAATAACACTGGAACAAAAGATTTAGTAATTGGATGCACTGTGCTGTAATTCAACATCCCTGTCTGACAATAAGGCCACTGCAAACACCATAATCATTATACATTTACTTAAGAAAGTAGTTGTGAAAAGCAAATTAAAAGTTTTACCAAAGGATACATAAAAACAAAAGTGTTGAGTAATTATTAATAATAGGAGGTAAGAATACTTTAGTGTTGGCCTCTAAGTAGTTGTACAGGACGCTGGCGGAGATGGTGAGGTCTCCGGTGCTGAACGGGTAGTTCTGGTTCCACCCCTGGGGACCAAATTTACGACGCTCCGTAACACAAGCGTGGAAGAAGCAGAGGGAGAAGAACATGGAGTTGAACTCTTGCTCTCTGGAACACATATCCAGGGTGTCCTAAGACGAGAGAGGAAGAAAAACAGATTGGAGTTAACTCAAATCCTCTGTTTTTTTTAATCAAATGTAATGCATTGTTTTGAACGTTTCCACACACTTGATTGAAGTGGTTGAGGGCTGCATGCAAACTGGCATTCATGCCGGTGGGGGGCTCATTGGTGATCTTGATGGCGCTCTCCAGGATGCCTCTGGGGATCACGTGGTGCTCGGGGCTCGATGCTGGTTCTCCGGTGATGAACACTCTGTAGTTCTGGTGGCTGTCCACCGCTGCTGTCTCCAGAAGAGCATCGAGAGAGGGCAGCCAGCGAGCCACCAGGTGCACATTCTGAAGAATTGGACATAATATATCATATAAATGTATGTTTAGTTATGCTCGTGGTTCATTTGTGTAATAGTCATGGTCAAATTGTCTTGCCATGGTCTGAATTAGTGTGAAATTGGTAGTGGACTCACTTGGCCGCAGCCTTCTCCCTTTTACAGGAGGCATTTAAGGAGCTGATTTAGCCAATTATGGTTTTTATTGAACCAAATTGAGTTTATTTCCTTGCTCAGGGGATGAGATAATATCATTAGGTGCATTACAGGCTTGCTGGAAGAGCTCTGCAGTTAGCTAGTTGCCGGATAATGCTGGATCCTACCTGCAGAATGACCCAGTGTCCCAGTTTAGAGGCGCTCCCCAGAGCCCTCTCAGCCACCTCCTCCTGCCCCTGGCCCAGGGAGACGTTGTGCAGAGTGCCCTGCTCGATGGAGAATCCCAACTTCAATCCTGCGCAGAAAGGGGATTTAGGACAATAATCCCTACCATGTGACAAGGATGTTTAAATAGCAAACAATGCAAACAGTACCTAGTTTTTCCACATCTTTGAGGGGATTCACTCCAGGTGAGAGGATGAAGAACACCGGGGTGGAGGAGCTGCTTTCCTCATACAGCTTGTCAAACTCCAGCCTGGCAGCGTCCACGTATTTTGCTCCCATGCTTTCCTCCACAAAGGACCTGCCAGGAAACCATTTAGGGCAGGGGTGTCAAACTCAAGGCCCGGGGGCCAAATATGGCTCGCGACTTCATTTCATGCGGCCTCACAAGAGCTTGCAAAGATTATAATGTTTATTATACGGTTACATTGCGATTTACAGAAGCACGTTGCCCATAAACTACATGTCCCACAATGCATCTCAAATTTGACTTTTTCTCAGCATTTTACTTTTTTTTCTTCAAGATATGCATTTTTTTCTCAGAATTCGACTTCTGTCAAAAATATGGATTTTTTCTTAAAATTTGACTTTTTCTCAAAGATTACTTTTTTTCCAAAATTTCACTTCTCTTTTTCAAAATTTCACTTATTTTGTTTTGTTTTTCCAGAATGTGGCTTTTCTTTTAAAATCATTTTGTGACATTCTTATTGAAGAGACTTGCAATTATTTGCCCCAGACTTCTGCTTTCAGATGAAGTTAATTATGAAGTTATTACCTTATCCGATAATAATCCAATGCAGAGGCAATCATGTAATATAAAACATTATTTTATATATATTCAATATCTATATAAGTATTTTTATATAGTCTTAAAGTTACAACCGGCCCTTTGAGTGCAACCATAATGCTGATGTGGCCCGTGATGAAATTGAGTTTGACACCCCTGATTTAGGGGGATTTAGTGATATACAATACCTATAAATACAATTGTTCTTTGGTCATTTACATACCTCAGTGTATAGGTGATCCTATCAGGGCGAAGGGCTCTGAAGATAATAAGCTTCTGGAGGGAACTTTTATTCTTCCAGTCATGGGGAAGTCTTTCCTTTTCAGGAAAACTGGACTCAACGATCTTCCTCCAACGCTTCGGGGAGCTCTCCATGTCTTTGTCCAGTCCGACGAAGCCCTCCATTGTAGAAATTGTCTATATCCAGATAACAGATTTTAAAGATCTCTCTATATAAGATAAGATGTACTTTATTGAACCTAAATTGGGACATTTTTGCGTTGCAGCAGCATAAAAAAAACAAGGTATTGTACTTAAGTAGAAATGAAAAGAGTAGAAATAAACAATTCTAAAATGTTAACATCTCAAAATAGAAATAAAACAGCATTAAAAAGTAGAAAATATGCAATGGTATGTAGTGATGAACTGATGGCTAACAAGAATAGAAAATGTGACCATTAACCTGGTGACATCACATATAAAAGCATGTTATTGGCAATGACTGTACCTTAATGGCTCCCCAGGCATGTGGAGAGAGGAAGGACACGGGACTAACTTTGCACGCTTCCACATGGAAACGCAGTAGGAAGTCAAATTCCTGAGCATCAATCAGGCCCTGCTTGAGAGCCATCTGAGGGGAAGGAAGAGGAGCAGTTTGTAATGATCCATGTTGTATTGATTTCTTTTAAATCATTTCCACCGAAATAAAAAAAAAAAAAACTGCAAGAAAACTCTGGCAGGTGGGTGTTCCAACTCAAAGAGGCTGAAAAATGGCCCCTGTATGTGGAATAGCCACATGAAGGGCAGCCTTCAGAGCAGCACCATTTCTAAGATGATAACAGTTGGCGCAATGACAGATAATTGCATTATGCCATCAGAACCAACCCCCTGTCAGAACCCAGTGTCTGAACAGCAGCCGTGGAGCAAGGTGGGAGAGGTAATCAATAGCAGCGTATGGTCCTGCTGACTGCTTTTAATTGAAGTTAATGTGTGGGCAGAAAAGTACTTTGATTGATGAGAATGACAGGACGCCCCACCTTTGAGGCGGCCCTGAGTCCCTCACCTGGAAGGCAGTGTGTGACAAGAAGGTTAACTTGTCTCTCTCAAACAGGCCCTGGCTGGTGTACAGGAATACAGAATAGGTGACGGCCTCAGTCAGGGTGTGCACTCTGGTCCTCACATCCTCGTCCCATTCTGCACGCTCCATCGCTTTGTTAAACACTGAGTTAAAGGTCTGGAATACAACCAAAGAGATACAAGCATTTCATTCCACATTAGGCTGTTAAACACCTGGACTTTTCAAAGAACATCCATAACATTCATCTGTTTGCAACTTACACATTATTAATCTAATATATCGTATTCCAATTACTTGTATATAGACTCTCCTTGCACTATTTCTATTTTATTTGTATTTACTTGCACTACTTTATCTGTTTCATTGTGTTGCACTGTCGGAGGAGCCTGTGACCTAAGATTTTCATTGACATAACTACACTGTAGCTAATGTACAAATGACAATAAAAGCCTTGAACCCTTGTATTTAGACAGATTCTCACTTGGTAGGAGCTAAACATAAAGAAAAAGCTACATTTTTTGGCATAAAAGTACATATTTAAGCACATTTTACAGACAGGGCTATGCCTTAAATCTTAATCATCAAGAAAAATGAACCCATTTAATAGAAAATTGGTCAGAAAGGACTGTTCAAAAACGACGCGTCCCCTGAGAGGATTCAGGGGTTAGGGTTTCACCTTGAGAGAAAACTGGTACATGGGGTTAATCTTGCTGAGGTCATTGATGATGAAGAAGAGGAGTGAGGCTCTCTCAGCTGCTGGGCGGTAAAGTTCTCGAGCCTCGTTGATCTTTGTCTCGTTCTCTCTGGCCTCCACCACCTGTGTGTTCCAATTGCACAAAATGAGCTATTAGGCTCGCAGTCATGCTCCAAATCCCTCTCATTACACATGTTCCCAACTCACACCATTTGCGGCTAATGCAATAAAATGAGGAGCTTGCCGTTGTGTGACATTCAAAAACACTTGAGTGACAAAAAAACAACAGAACATGCACTTGGCTACCGTTGCAAGACTAAAAAGGGGACCCTGTTGGTGTAATAACCTCACCTTGTGCTGAATGTGAGCGGCCGTGCTTTTGGCGTTCTCGAGTTGCTCCACCAGAGAAATATCACCGAGGAAATTACCGTGGGCTGCCGAGAGGCGACTCAACAGGTCGTCCTCCAACCTCTTCAGTTCAATCTTAAAGTGGTTCTGCTGGCTGGTCAGCTCCATCTTAGGAACCGTACACAAAACAATTTACACTTTTCCATTTGCTATTATGAACTGATGTTTTCAATGTAATCATATCATCGATAAAAGTCCTAACCACAGGTTTAGCAGTCTATATAGTTCATCAAATACCAATGGATTTACCTTTAAGGCCTCCAGGTCGGGCCTCTCGCGGGACACCACCTGTCCCAGCAGCTGCTCCTCCAGGCCCACAGGAGTCACTGTGAAGTCGATGAGGGTGGTCTGGGCCTGCAGCTCAGGGGGGAAATGGGGATTGGCCAACTTGGTGTGGAGGATGAGTAGGAAGTTGCTGTTGTATTCACACTCCTTGCCGCCAATACGAATATACCTGGATAACAGAAAGATACACTTACAAAATATATAGAGCTGAAAGCCAATCAAAACGTAAGGAAAGGCTACGGGTGAAACTTTCAATGATTAACAGAAAGTACATCTCATGATTTATTTTATGAATCTGTTGAAGTACTTTAAAACGTGGAAAATGCAACTTTACTTTATACTAATACAAATGTGGATCTACAGACTCATATTCAAAATAAGCACAATATGAATCCATGCCTGACTTTTATTGCAGCATAAACAAGAAGTCCCAGAAGGTAGAAATCTAACAGCTACTGGTTTACGACCAATCTCCATGACGATGAGCCAATTGATAAAAAGCTTCCGAAAAAGTTAGTCAATAGAATGACTAAAAACGACTAATCCAAAGGATAATAGTGATCTTTCATGTTTAGAGTTGTTGTTTACGGATCAAAGACCACTTTGCTGGAAACATAGTTATTTTCTCTTTAACTACAGTAGAAAAAAAATGGAACAGCAAAAACGGCAGCAGAGTTATATTTGCCTTGGTTTGTTGTGTATTCCCAGCAGTAGACTTTAAGAAAGGGAAACATTAATGATGATGGGATCTAGTCTAGATGATTAGAAACATCACCAGTGCTTTCCTTTAAAAGACAGTGCAGGGGATTTCAATTGTGATTAAATGATAATGACTATGATGATTATGAACCAGTAGATTATTTGTACGGCGGCAGTGCAAACACTCTATTTTGTCTTGACTATCTTAGCCTATTGAACTCTCACTTTTCATGCATAACAACCTCAGCAGAGGAAAGAACTTCACTCCCGCTCCGAATGTCACTCACACTGTAGACAAATACTCATGAAGAATTAAGAAAGATTATCACCACAGCGGCCAATATTTATCTCTTCCTGCATTTCAATTAAATTAGCGATGGCTTGACGAACTTGGTGGCTTCTCATTTTTCTCTAATTACCCCTTGGATGTCAGGCAAGGCCCCAATTTTACAACACAGGTTCCTCATGGCCTGGGTCTGGTTCAACTCTATATCTTCACAAGCCAGAATTAATGTACTATTGATAGAACCATTACTCCACCAAATTAAAGTCCTTGCTGATGGATTGGCTTGTAGTCTTCCGTCAGCCATGAAAGGAATAATTAGTATTCATTACTTCACACTCTACAACATTCCAATTATTAATGAACTTCAGCTGTGGATCCCCACCAGATCCATCATGGCTGCCCGCGCAGGTTGTATTAATCATCGACAGAAACAAGTGTGCGGGTCATCTACAGGGGATAAACTTATAATCAGATTTACTATGATGAATTGTTACGTCTGGACAGACAGGATTTCAGAAGAAGTTCAATGACCGTGTGCCAAGACATTCAATATTCATGGTCATGCATAGATCAGAGCAAGAAAGATGTAAACATTTTTGAGGTGAGAGTCAAAGCAGAATGTCAATATGTGGTATTTTCTATTTATACTGCTGCGTTTTGTCTCTTTAAGGACATTTGCTGGGTTTTGTGTGTTATAGGGTAATTGGTAACCGTGCAAAGATAATTACAGAGCAGCTATTTTGGTGGCACCGTGAAGTGGGTAAAGTGGGTAGCAGTACTCATGTTTGAAAATCAGGTTTGACAGCAGATGGATTTACCAAATACAGGCTGTTTCAAACAAGTGCTAGTGTGGTTAGCATGTATAAAAGCTAAATCATTTAAGGATAGTAGCATTACTGATAATGTCTTGTTCATAATTAAATACAATACCCATATAAGACCTGACTACTTAAAATAAGTCAAAAATAATCAAGATGCATCTTAGTGGAGGTTAAATAGAATCAGTTATGTTCCTGTTTCTGAATAAATACCGGCAAATGGACATTATGAATTGATTGAAGCTGAATTGAGTTTGCCATAATGATGGAGGACCCCTGAATTTAGTGTGTAGCAGGCCATCTTTTTGTAGGAGACAAGAGTCCTTATACATAACCATGACTGTCCTCAATTCAGCTTTTACACTGAGGCCCAGCTGTTTAATATTCATCACACCTAAAGAATATGAACACACAAATATACATCTATCACCCGTCTTGAGGGGCCAATCAATATGCTGGCCTCAGGGATTCAGAACACGCGCTGCAAATTCATTAATAATCTAAAGAGTGGGCAATAATAATGCGTTCAGTCATGTCTTACTGGTGTTTCAAAGCTCAGTGAGACTCAACCATCTGGCAAATCTGCTCCTATTGTCCAACACCACAGAGACATGGGGACGAGTTGTGGGCATATTGACTCGCGGATAAACAGGGATACAAATACTGCACATTGATTAAAACGTGTGTGCAACAGCCCCTTGGGTGGGGTAGATTAATGCATAATATACGTTTTCATTTTAATCCATGAAGTACAACAATGTCATTTTTCAGTACTAACCTAACAAAACAAAGCTTTTACTATTGATGAGCTGGATTAATGCTTTGTTTTAATCCATAAAGTACAAAGTAAATGTAATGTTTTAGTACTGACCTTCCTCTCTTAATAGTGTTTCTCCCCAGCAGAGGCTCCAGGACTGGGTCTACCTTCTCTGGCAGATTCTCTAACAGAACTGTTTCACCACAGGCAAGGGCTTGTTCAATCACATCTAGATACCTAGGGAGCAAGACAGGAAACGGAATAAAAGGGATGAAACAAAGATGGAAGGACATTCATGTTTCTATGCTACCATATTTTAGCAGTCCATGGAGATTTTGTTAGACAGAGAGGGTTTAGCCTCTGTTAGAAAAATATCACTCGTCACCGGCTTGAGCTTGAATAATCAGGAACATTTATCATCTTTGCAAGAATGGAAGTAGTCATCACATAAAGAGCATATGGGACAACTCGTTCCCAGAACAGTGTCCTTCACATGGTTTATACACAAGACAGGGTGTTATTCAGTCACAACATGCATGTATACCGGTTCAAAGCAGTATACAATGTTTAGTTCAGATTAGCAAAGGCCCACGTAAGCAATAAACATGACAGTCAGTCTACTTCCATAGAGGCTGAATCATCATGTTAATCGTTGTCACATAGCTACTGTATCAAATGCCTAAAACATGTCCTGACGCTCTTCTAGGTTATCCTACATCCGGCTACGTACACAGCTACGAAGGGCCTTTGTTATCATGTGCTACTAATAAAATAAAACAGAAACAACAACAAACGTATACATTAAAAACGTGGAAAAACTGCAATGTTCTGGCGATATTAACTGCCATCAGATGACATCCCCTTCTCACCCCTTCTGTCCATGCTGCACCACCCTCAGCTCTGACCCTAGCCGGTTTCTGATCCACTTGATGCCCTGCTGCTGCGGGTCGATGATGAGCGGCCAACGCTCACTGGTGGTCAGGATGGAAGCGTTCTCGGTGGACATCCTATCGTTTGGCAGGCCCTGGTTATGCCAGGCAGCCACAGTGGCATCATCTGTAAGCATGAGGATTGGATCCAAGCCGTCTGTCAGGGGCACAGAGACCTGGAACAGAAAGCCAGCCATGATTTCACTCTAGTTGGAGCTTTGGCAGCAGTACACAGATTCTGCGGTGGATGTTTATGGAGAGAAAGATTTGACTCTCCAAACACAAAGTCTGTTGAATAAGCGTTAGCCTTACTTTCTGAGAATGGAGGAAAGGGATCCATGCGTTGTTTAGAAGCTCCACGCGATACTGTCTTGTGAAGTAACCCATGTAAGAGACGAATGCTGAAGTGATGAGGACATCGCCACACAGAGTTCTCTGTTGCTTTTCGTACTCAACAATTGCCTGGGACCAGCGCTCCTTCTCTGACTGGAAGACAGAGGAATCTGGGTTTAATATCATATCATCACAGAAAAAGGGACAATAAGAACAACTAACCCATTTGGAGACAGAATGAACCGTAGAACTGAAGGAGAATCTCCACTGCAGGGAAATGTACTTCATTTATTACTGCATTTATTGCACAGATTAAGAAGATGGAAGCAGTAAAGCATACAACGGTAATTCTCTTAAAATAGCTTTGGAAGTTTGGCTGCAGACCCGCTCTGCATCAATTTAGCATTCATTTAAACCTTCAATACTGTGACTGTGACACTACTACAACAATAAATCATGCATGGCATTTTCTTACAAGGGGCTGTGGATCTGGAATATGTCACATAATAAATGTTCAGACAGTTAAAAATCACTATAATTTTACTCTAATGCCTTATGGATTGCCTGTAATATCACTCAGTCTGGGGTGAGACATTGTTAATTTCCAACAGCTGTTGAGGCTTTGAGGTAAGTTAACGATTAAATATAGACGACCTGATTTATTAGTCTGAACACTATTGCTTCCAGGTCAATGCCATAAAGACTAAACATTTATCTTGATATGCTTAAAAGCCAAGCTGTTCCATGCAAACCGCATTTATTTTCTGGCATGAGGAAATGTACAAATGGCCATCTTTTATTTCATTTTAGCATCCATAAAGATAATAAATACTGTAACCTGAAAAAGGCACGCATAGAAATGCAAAAAGTTGAATAGAATGTTCAACAGATAAGCAGCAATAACATTAATATATTCAGATTATACAACTATTATTAAAAAAATAATAATTGAGAATTAATTAATATTACAAATAAAATCCATCCATTCTAAAAGTGACCCAGTACACACACATTCTGTACATACTCTACTCTCTACAGCGTTGACTGAGAGCAGTGTTAGTGTAGCACTCTTGCCACCTCTCTCCCTTTCTGTTTGGAAAGCATTCAGACAGCCGGTTGCCCAGTTCAGCCAAGCGTTGTCTGTGGTCCAGCCCTCTCTACCTGTCTCACAAGTCCCCAGTTTGCTGCTGGCGGAGCTGTTAAATCTCCCTCCGCCTGAAGTACTCACACAACCATCGGACTAGCTTGCCAGGATATAACAACTTTCTAGTCCAGATTACTGATGCAATTCCATTACCAGCGCCTTTCCATGCATGCCTCCGGCTAATTGACAGTTTACTTCATGCCAGGTCTGCCCCAGTGACACCAACACACTCCTCTATCTCTCCTTGTTTACCTCTAAGCCCTTGACCAGTCGGTTGGCCAGCTCTATGGTCTGGTTGGTGCGTTTCACCTCCTCCTGACAACTGAGTTTCTCAGCTGTAGCTTCTTCAACCTGAGCTGTGAGGCTCTGTAGGGTTGCATCAAGATCCTGAGAAACAAACCAAAGGAAGCCATGGAAATTAGACAGCATTACAAATATCGAGCTTTTAGGATGTCTTAATGGAGTTTAATTATAACATTGAGTGCACTCACCACCAATTTATTTTGAACTGCTAACATTTTGGCTGTAGCTGTGTCTAGTTCTGCATTAGCTTGTGATAATGCATGCCTCTTAGGAATGATCTCACAATAAATCTGCAAAAAAAGAGGTGTACTTTACAAAGGTTCTACAAGGATAAAGAACACCTTCTTGCGGAATATAAACAACAAATGTAACATTTATTGTAACTACAACTTATCTGAAGGCATTTCCTCACCTCGTAGTATCGGACAATGTTTAGAGCCCAGGCACAGAGACCGGCTGCAGCTGTAGATTTAGTCCGAACCAGATCAGGGTGGAACTGTGGATTTTTCAGATATTCCTTTTTTACCACAGTCAAACAGACCTCTGGGACGTGCTCCTTGTCATACGACGTCAGGGCCTGAAGGAAATCATCCACCTGACAGACGTTAACAAAGATACAGGGGACTCATTAATACCAGCACCAGTGTTTTGCGCTGGCAGCAGTCTATAATGAGATCCTGTAACAAAGATCTGACTTATTACTAAAACCAGAAAGTGAGACACATACAAAAGATTTGACATATCAAATATGGTTTATAATTTGTTTGTGTTCTCCATTAAACTGCAAACAAATGATATAACCTCTTTTGTAATGAGATAATGCTGAATACAGTTGGTATAGACTAATACTTGGCAGGGGTATTGGAGGAAGGCAGACTGCAGATCATCATAATGGAAAAGCATAGTGGTCGAACACTGAATGCATTTGAGTTTTTATTTAAAAAACAACAACCTGTATCTTTATATGACTTTGTCTTCATCTTTCCCCACCTACAGCCACTTTTAAGGATCTACAGTAAGTGACAAATTAAATAATAAAAAGGCATGTATCAGATGCACATGCATTTTCTACCAATGAAACATTTCAGATAACCAAATACCGTACATAAAAGGTCTACTGGGTCTAAAATGACAATATAACTGCTTTTGGTAAGAAAAAAAGATCTCATATTCATGCATAATCCTACAGGCTTTTAAAAACCAAATAATCATTTTTACAGCCACACTTGCATTAATAGCAGCGAGAGGTTGCGAGTGGGGCCGACACACTTGCTCCCCTACTGAGCGAGTATATTCATAAAGCCATTGAGCTGTAATGTGTGCATTGGAGAGCCGGGCAGGGCCAGGGTCAAGGCCCACACACAAATTAGATTGGCATTAATCAAGCAGATGTGATTGACATGATGACAGCTTAACCTTGCCCATGAAGGCCCGCGCCGCCTTCCAGCTCCGATCCTTTGGCACCCGACCGCGGGGAGCGAGCAGCACCATCACAGCTGCTGCCACGTTGATCACTGCTGCTGGGGGGTTTGGGAAGGCCTTCAGCTCAGTAAGATTCACCTACAAAATCATCACACACAATATATTGTCTTTAGGACGACTGAAGATTTGAAAGGGTATTAATGTTTTTGTTGATAAAATGAAGCACCTTGTTGAGGGTGTCCAGTGCTTCTGTTGCAGCTGCTAAAGATGGCTCTGCCTTGGCTAGGTCACTTTCACAGTCCTTCTGTTTGACTAAGACTTCTGCCTTTATGACAGCAACCTGTGCAAAAGCAACCATGATGAAGAGCATCAGAAAAAGAGCATGTAGGGAATGGTATGGTAGGGAGAGTGTCGTGCCAAAGGGGAATAAAAAGCAATGATGGATAGGATTTCAAACCTTTTGTGCCTCGATGTCTGCAGCCTCTCTCTTGCTGCTAACCTTCTCAGTCTGAAGTCCGATCTTTGTGATGAGAGCCTCGATGTTCTGGTTTTTACAGGTCAGCTCCGCTTCTTGGGATGCCAGTTTAGCTTTAAGATCATCGACCTAAAACAGAGAAAAGGGCTTGTGTAATATCCTTAATGTCAAGGCAAAACCCCACTGTGGGAATAAAATATCTAATAATAGTACTATTCCAAATGTTATGACGTTACCTTCTACCTGAAACCCACCATTTGACTCCCTACAGTTTATAATAAAGACGTTTACCTGAGCGGCAGTGGTTTGGAGCTTTTGAAGGCCGCTGTCAAGTCGGTTCATCTTGTGCTGGAGGTGAGCTCGGCTCTTCTCCAGAAGGTTTCTGTACAGAGTGATTTGCTGGAGAAAGCTCTTGGGGGTGGTGTAATTGTACCTCTTCTCATTGCGCTGGTATTTTTCACTTGCCTGGTTGACACTGGTGTGAACGTAGGCCATGAAAAGACTGATGGATTCCTGGACGGCAGGCTGTAAAAATAAGCAGACAGGGGGGGCGAGGGGAGAACAGGGTGAGCTGAATTGAGTGGAGTTTAACACCCCCAACCTGATGGGGAGTGAAATATTATCTTCATAAATGTTGAATTCATCTCCAAGTTTTGCCATCTTACTTGGCCGGCCCTGACTTACTCAATCTGAAATTTAGGTGCAGCTAGCAGGAATGATTAGGCTTTGAAACCACTGTGAAAATAATGTGTTTAGACCACTGACATGCAGCTTGTAAAACATGTGCAACGTTTACATTATCTCTGATACTCTACAACTTTCTAAACACCGTCTACAGCGGCTGTTGGACTACATTTCAACTAGGTATTCATCATGTGGTGCTCAATGACACAAAGCCTCTATTAATCATACAGTTAGAGATCAATTAAAGCAAAAACAAATGAGCAGACAATGCAGGGATCAAACCTAACCATAACTCACAAAAAGCCATTGTTAATGATCATGGAGCCAGTAGGGGGAAAAAAATCATTATTAATTAAGATCTGACATAATGCTTTTTGACAAAGCATGCTAGGTTCAGTTGAGATGCGAAATAAGTTCTCATTCATTAGTAGCCTGTAACTATTAGTGGGTTGTGATTTCTAACTTTAAATAAATGATCATTTCTTGTTTCCCAGCCTCTTTAGGAAGATAAACAATCATTAAAGGCTTAAATATACATTAATATGACATATTGTTTTGTTTCAACTTTTCAAAATGTATTATATATTAATGCACGTGAACTAAAACTAACACAAACTCCTTTCTGCAGACACAAGAAGATTATTAAGTATACAAGTCCCCCTTTGATTATAAATTGTTATAACTATAACTTTACTACGGCTGCCACAAACAAATATATATTTGTATTAAGTATTTTATTGATTAACGTCTTAATGAATTGCTATAACATGTCCGAAAATGGGGAAAATTGCCCAAGGTAATTTTGCTATATACCTTGTTTTTAATGACCAAAAATGCAAATAAACACGATT